GCTCTTTCCGCTATATTTATTTTGAACATGTAGTTCTGAGCTCTGCCTCTACCATTAATTTGCTGTATGATTTTTGGCAAGATGCCCCAATTCCCTGAGCCTCAGTTTTCTCATTTATAAAATAGGAAGGCTGGAAAATACCACCTGAATGTTTCTTTAAGCTCTAACATTCTGCTGCTTTTAGAATTTGGGTTTTCCTTGTCAAGTAGCCTTTGGAATGTTGAAAGCTAATGACTTAAAAATAAATGATCTCGAGGCCTCTAGGTGGCACAGTAGATAGAGCACTGGCCCTGGAGTCAGGAGGACCTGATTTCAAATCCGGCCTCAGACACATAGCACTCATTAGCTGTGTGACTCTGGGCAAGTCATTTAACCCCAATTGCCCTCACCAAATATAAACATATATATATATATATATATATATATATAATATATATATATATATATATATAAATGATCTCATTTATTTCTGTCTTGTTTAATTTCATCAATGTGGTCATTTTAGAACAGCAGTACTGTGGTAATAAATACAATTTTCCAAATCAAATAAGAGAAACTCATTTTGTCCATTACCACAAGCACCATTTATACCTTAAGAGAACACAGGTGAATTAGTGGAGGAAAAAACAAAACAAAACATTTTTCAATATGTGACCATTGTTGTTCAGTTGTTTCAGTCATGTCGACTCTTTGTGCTCACATTTAGGTTTTTCATTTTTATTTTTTGCAAAGATACTAGAGTGGTTTGCCACATTTCCTTCTCCAGCTCATTTTTCAGATGAGAAAACTGAGGCAAACAGGTTTTAAGCGACTTATCCAGGGTCGCGCAGCTAGTAAGTGTCTGAGGTCAGATTTGAACTCAGGAAGATGAATCTTCTTGACTCCGGGCCCCACACTGTATCCACTGTGCCACCTAGTTGCCTTTCAATATATGATGTGTTTCTTAGAGAACATCGGAATGACGGGAGTTTTTCTTAAAATGATAGGTATCATCTATCTAAAGCCATCAGCAAGGATTATATGTAATGTGGATAAACTAGAAGCATTTCCAAAAATATTAGGGCTGAAACAAGGATTTTCATTATCACCACTGTTATTCAATAGAATAGAATAGAAATGTTAGCTTTAGCAATAAGAGAAGAAAAAGAAATTGAAGAAATTAGAATAAGTAATAAGGAAACAAAGCTATCACTCTTTGCAGATGATATGATGGTATACTTAGAGAATCCTAGAGAATCAACTAAAAAAACTACATGAAATAATTAACAACTTTAGCAAAGTTACAGGATATAAAATAAACTCACATAAATCATTGGCATTTCTATATATTACTAACAAAGCCCAGCAGCAAGAGATAGAAAGAGAAATTCCATTTAAAACAATTGTAGTCAATATAAAATATTTGGGAGTCTACCTGCCAAGCCAAATCCAGGAATTATATGAACATGATTATAAAATATTTTTCACACAAATAAAGTCAGATCTAAATAATTGGAAAAATATCAGTTGCTCATTGGTAGGCCAGGCCAATATAATAAAAATTATTCTGCTAAACTAATTCATTTGTTCAGTGCCATGCCAATCAAACTACCAAAAAATTATTTCATAGAGCTAGAAAAAACAATAACAAAATTCATCTGGCAGAACAAAAGGTCAAGAATATCAAGGTAATTAATGAAAAGAAATGCAAGGGAGGATGGCCTAGGCTTACCAGATCCAAAACTGTGTTATAAAGCAACGGTCATCAAAACTATTTGGTACTGGCTAAGAAATAGAGTTGTGGATCAGTGGAATAGGTTAGGTACACAAACATAGTGGTCAATGACTATAGTAATCTACTATTTGATAAACTCAAAGACTCTAGCTTCTAGGATAAGAATTCACTATTTGACAAAAATTGCTGGGAAAACTGGAAAACATTATGGCACAAAGTAGACCTAGACCAACATCTAATACCCTATACCAAGATAAGGTCAAAATTGTTACATGATTTAGACAAAAAGGATGATATCATAAGCAAATTAGGAGAGCAAGGAATAATTTACCTGTCAGATCTATGGAGAAGGGAAGAATTTATGACCAAACAAGAGATAAAGAACATCATGAAATGCAAAATGGATAATTTTGATTACTTTAAATTAAAAAGCTTTTGTGCAAAGTCAGTGCAACCTAGATTAGAAATAAATCAGAAAGCTGGGAAACAATTTTTACAGCCAGTGTCTCTGATAAAGGCTTCATTTCTAAAGCATAAAGAAAACGGAGTCAAATCTATAGGAATACAAGTCATTGCCCAACTGATAAATGTCAAAGGATATGAACAAGCAGTTTTCAGAGGAAGAAATTAAAGCTATCTATAGTCATATAAAAATGCTTTAAATCACTACAGATTTAGAGAAATGAGAAATTAGAAATGCAGATTAAAACAACTCAGAGGTACCACTGCACACTTATCACATTGGCTAATATGACAGAAAAAGAACATGATAAATGTTGGAGGTGTGGGAAAATTCGAACTACTAAAACATTGTTGCTGGAGTTGTAAACTGATCCAACCATTCTGGAGAGCAATTTGGAACTATGCTCCAAGGGCTGTAAAACTGTGCACACCCTTTGACCCAGCAATATCACTACTAGGTCTGTATCCCAAAGAGATCATAAAAAAGGGAAAAGGACCTTCATGTACAAAAATATTTATAGCAGTTCTTTCTGTGGTGGCAAAGAATTGGAAATTGAGAGGATGCCCATCAATTGGGGAATGGCTGAACAAGTTGTGGAATATGAATGTAATGCAATACTATTGTGCTATAAGAAATGATGAGCAGGCAGATTTCAGAAAAACCTGGAAAGACTTGAATGAATTGGTGGTAAGTGAAGTGAGCAGAACCAGGAGAACATTGTACACAGTAACAGCCACATTGTGCAATGACCAACTTTGATAGACCTAGCTCTTCTCAGCAATACAGTGATCTAAGACAATTCCAAAAGACTCATGATGGAAAATGCTATTCACATCTAGAGAAAGAACTATGGAGTCTGAATGCAGATAAAAGTATACTATTTGCTTTTTGTTTTTCTTTCTTGTGGTTTTCTCCTTTTGTTCTGATTCTTCTTTCACAACATGACTAATGTGGAAATATTTTCAATATGTTTAATATGATTGTACATGTATAACATATCAGATTGCTTGCCATCTTGGGGAGGGAGGAAAAAATGGAGCTCAAAATCTTTTAAAAGTATCAATGTTCACTAGCTGTGTGACCCTGGGTTAGTCACTTAACCCCAATTGCCTTAAAAAAAAAGTAGCAATGTTCAAAACTATCTTTACATGTAATTGGAAAAAATATGATATTATTAAGTGGAAAAAAGTAATAAAAAAAAATATGATGTGTTGGGGGCAGCTAGGTGGCTCAGTGGATAGAACACCATCCCTGAAGTCTGGAGGACCTGAGTTCAAATCCGGCCTCAGACCAAACACTTGACACTAATTGTGGGACTCTAGGCAAGTCATTTACCCCCAATTACCTAAAAACAATACAAAGTGTTTCAAATAAACGAAAAGGAATAATTCTAGACTCTCCTGTCTTCACTGAAGATAATACAAGAGGAAACAGGTCTAGATGAATAGGGAAGATTAGAATGGATTATGTAGGAATCCTGTGCAATATCATTCTTTGAAATCCTTCAGAATAGGAGAAATTCTTATCTACCTTGCAATAAGTCTGCAGAATCTTTGGTTCCATTACACCTTCTTTATTAATTTCTAGGCAGCTAGGTGGTGCAGTGGATAGTGCTGGGCCTGGAGTCAGGAAGACCTGAATTCAAAGCCCACCACAAACAAGTCTTAGCTATTGACCTCGGGTATGTCATTTAACTTCTATTTGCCCCAGTTTCCTCAACTGGAAAATGGGGATAATAATAGCACCTACCTACCAAGGGTTGTTGTAAAGCTCAAATGAAATATTTGTATAGTCCTTAGCATGGTGTCTGGCAGAGAAGGGGTATTATATAAATGTTAGGTATTATTACTGTCATTGTTAAGCCTAGGAATCCGCTCACCATCCCATGCTCCAATGCTTGAATTGTTAATTGCTGCTGGAGAAAAGTCAAGAAACCTCACTGATTTGGTTCATTATACAGGATGTGCAGTTTTAGTGCAGGTTTAAGCTTTAATAGCTCACAGAGAGAGAGAGAGAGAGAGAGAGAGAGAGAGAGAGAGAGAGAGAGAGAGAGGTCAAGCAGATGAGAGGAGAGAATATCTAGGAGGACAGCATAAAAAACTGCAGAGATGTCATGTAGAGTGAAATGGCTTTGGCTACACACTCACAGTCAGAGAGAAGAGAAAGAGGGAAAGATAGAAAGGAGAGGAAGGGACAACGACCAGTGGTAAGTTGGAATCTGGAGATCAGAACATTCAAATACATAAACCATATGGAATGACCTCAGGCATCTTAGAAAATTACCCCAGTTCTCATTTTGGAGAGAGAGAAAGTGAACACTAGGGTAGAGTTAACTAGGAACCATATTTCTCTTCCCCAGGGCAACTTTTTAGCACATAACTATAATTGGGTACAAGCTTCAATAAAAGCATGGAACAAGCCTGCAAAATCTCAGGAAGGAAAAGCTAAACACAGACCTATGGAGTTTGGAAAATATATGCCTCCACCTACTCAGACGTTGATAGCTGTGACACCTTTCCTACCAAATGACTGGTACATATAAATTATGACACAAAATAGAATTTAAGGACAGAAGGGAATTATGAGCAAGGCTCTCAAGGAGCTGAAGTTAAATTTTATTGATCCAAATGGCTTGCTACAGATGAAAGGACATTCAATTATGCCAAGTTTTTAAGGTTTTTGTTTGTATTATGAATTGGTTTTGTAATACTCAGAAAAAATTGGGAATAATAACAATCACAGTGTACATACAAGTCCAGTCATACGGAGATAGGTACTTGTGAAAAAGTCATTCATACCTGCTCAGTAAATCCATCAACCTACCTGTGTTTTTCCTGCATTCTTGTTCATTGCATTTCTGTGATTCCAGAGGTTTGGGGATGTACTCACACAGGCTGGGGTGCTCTGTTTTATTGCTCTCTGGGTTGATACATTGAACAGTCCTTTGCTGAATGCCACCACCGCAGGAAACGGTACACTGAAAGAGATAAGGAGCTTAGCCGGCATTCTGGGAAAGAAAGAATTATGGAATCATCCAATTTAGGGTGACTAGAATATGTGTAAAACATCAACACTATGATTGCTGAGTAAAAGAAAGATGCAAGAAACAGAATCATTTTTGACAGTCAATGAAGCACTAACATAACAACTAGTATTTATGCAGCACTTTCCAAATATCATGTCATTTGATCCTCACAACAACCCTAGGAGGTAAATGCTATTATTATCCTTAATTTACAGATGAGTAAACTGAGGCAGATAGAGGTTAAATGATTTGCCCAGGGTCACAAAGCTTATAAGCCTCTGAGGCTGGATTCAAACTCAGGTCTTCCTGCCTACAGTTCCAGTGCTCTATCTACTGTGCCACCTAGATGCCTCTACTAATGATTAGGCTATCATGTTAAGGAAAGTTTCAGATCTTTGAATAAATCCTTTTATTTAACTTTCTACCATAAATATAAAGGGGGTGAACCACATGAATAGAAATATAGGTTCTTTAAAGTAACAAATAAGAGTATATATAATAGTAACAGCAGGATTTGTCATGGAGTTGGGGATGGTGCTCAGAGCACCATATACTAATTGATGAGAATAATTCTAGGGGATTCTAGAATTTCAGAAGCACCATAAATTGCACCCATACCTATAGTCTTCTGAACCTTTTCTCCTCAGCTACTTGGGAATACCTATACAATTGTCTCCTTGGTGGATAAATTTGTTAATGAAAAAAGCATTTATTAAGTACTTACTATGGGCAAAGCACCATGCTCGGTGCTGGGGAACAAATAGACAAAAAGTAAGATAGTTTCTGCTCTCAAGGAGCTCATTCTAATGGAGGAGACAACAGCTATGGGAGTTTTCAGCTGCAAGTCATATGGAAAGATCTCATGATCCTTAGGATGCAATGGTAAAGCAGGTGGCAATGCCTCTTTCTTAAGGTCATTTCCACTGATAAAATCACTAATTCCCAACGTTGAAAAATTTGACAGTGCTAAGCACCTGTAGGAACAATTGTCAGAGCGTATTTCCACAGAGGTTATTTCCCAGAACGGTGGCTGCAGGAACTGGGTTGGGAATATTGCTGTTCTCCAGGCTCTTGGTTCAGGGTTTTGAGCTGTCTCCATCAGGGTCTGAGGAAAGTTATTGGTCAAAGTGGTAACATTGCTGCCTCCCATCTCTCTCTGTCTGTCTCTGTCTCTCTGTGTCTCTGTCTCTGTGTGTGTGTGTCTCTGCTTTGCTATCTGACATGTATTCCCTGTGACTAGCAGTCAGTTGGCAGGTGGTGGGGATGGTTGGTCTCTTTTCTACAAAAGCCATCTCCCTGGATGTTGACTTGAGGAATGAGCTAAAAGCAGGACCAGTGATCTAGATGGGGGAGGGCGCTGTCACTTCTGCCTATCTGCTTGTTGGTTATAGTTGGTCAGCAGTTGGTGGTGGTGGTGATAAGGATGGTAGTCCCCCTCTCTGTAATAATTTCCCCCCCCAATGGTGACTTCAGGGGCTGGTCTGAAAGCAGGTCTGGTAGATTGGGGGACACTGCTCTTCCCAAGTTTCTTGGGTTCAGGATCCTGGGCTGTCTCACAAATTAAGATTTTGAGAAAGACAGAGAACAAAACAAGTTCCTTCTCCTTCCACACATAAATCATTCCAGTCTGGTATTTCCTCTTCTCTAGCATTCTTTTATCTAATAAGATTATAGATCTATAGTTAGAAGGGATCTCAGTGGCCATTTAGTCTACTTTTTCATTTTACAGATGAGGAAATTAAGCCCCAGAGAGGCTAAGTGACTTGCCCAAGTTCATAAAGGTAGTAAGGGTTGATGTGAGTGGCAGCAGGATTTGAACCTCTGACTTCAGAGTCAAAGCTCTTTCCAGGGTGCCATTCTCAGCTTTCCTTATATACTAGTTCCTAAACTTATCCTTCATCTTGACTGTGACCTCCAGCTCCTCTATCACTCTTTACTTTTACAGGTCATCACTCCTGTCCTGGCTTCACTATTCTCCCTTCCCAATCTCAATCATAGGGTTAATCAGTTCAAGATTGCCCTGTCCTTTACTCTCGGATACCTTGCCCCTTGTCTTCTTACTCTTCATGACTTGTCAAATCCCAGCCTTAGGTTACTCCAATTAATTTCCTCCAGCCCTTCTGTTGAAGTGCTGCTCAACAAAAATAGGGGCATTGGAGTATAGTGGTTAAAGTGCAAGGTGTAGATTCATAAGGACCTGAGTTCTGTTCCTACCTCTAACACTAGTTGTGTAATCATGGGCAAGTCATTTTAACTCTGTGAGCCTCAGTTTCCCCATTTGTAAAACAAGAGGGATGAACTCAATGGACTCTAAAAGTGCCTTCTAGCTAAAATTTATGATACTCTTACCCAATCACCCTAAGTGGGTCTATTGAAAATTTATGTTTATAATCTTACCTGGGCCCTCACTGCAGCAAAGCAATTATTTTACTCATTTCTAATTGATTTGTCTGCTCCAAATATTCTCTCCTCAAGAATCACACACTACCGTTTCCCTCTAGCTTCACATATTCTTCTGAAGACATTGAGGCCATGTGCTCTGAGTTCCCCCTTCTCTCTTTATCTACACCTCAAAATCCCTTGACACCATCTCTATTCTCTCTTCCTTTCCTTCAGTCTCTGATAAAGAAGTGACCAATCTCCTTGCCAAGGATGATCCATCTCTACATATTATTTATCTTATCCTCTCTCATCTCCTCCAGGAGATTATCTGCATGATTATCCCTTCCCACTTATCTTCAATCTCTCCGTATTTGCTGCTTCCTTCTCTGTTGTCTATAAAGATTCTCAGCTCTCTCTATCTTTAAAACCCCCTTCCTCATTTGATCCAGCAATCCCTGAAAGCTACCATTTTCTCTCTCCTCCATTTAATAGTTCCTAGAAAAATATTATCTATACTTGTTGCCCCTACTTTTTCTCATTCAACTCAATCGTTTGCAATCTGGCTTTCACCCTCATCACTGAACTGAAATTGTTCTGTCCAAAGTCACCAATGAGCTCTCAATCACCAAACCTAATGATTTTTCTTAGTCTTAATCCTTCTTTACTTCTTTGCAGTAATTGACATTCTTGACTAGCTTCTCCTCCTGGATTGTCTCTCCTCTGAAGTTTTTTCTGAAGTGCCTCTCTCTCTGTCTCTCTCTCGCTGTCTCTCTCTTGGTGAGGCAATTGTGGTTAAGTGAATTTCCCAGAGTCACACAGCTAGTGAGTGTTATATGTCTGAGGCCAGATTTGAACTCAGGTCCTCTTGACTCCAGGGTCAGTGCTCTATCCACTGTGTGACATAGCTGCCCCCTTAATGCCTCTTTCTACAGCACCTCCACTTGCCCCTCTGACTACTCTGCTGGATCATCATCTATACCCTGCTCTTTAATTCTGGCTACACTCCAACACTGTTTCCCAGGAACTCTTCTCTTCTCACTCTGCATTCTCTTTGTTGACTTGGTCAGCAACTATAGACTTGCATATCATCTCTATGCATAGGACTGAGTGTATACACATATAATATGTGTATATATGTATATGAAATATATATGTGGAATGCCATATGTGTGTATGTGTGTATTTGATATTTCAAACTGGATATCCCATAGGCATTACAAATTCAACATGTCCAAAATAGAACTCATCATCTGACCCCTCCTAAACTCTATCCTCTTTTGAATTTCCTTCAATGACAGGGCACAGCTATCTTTCCAGTCACCAAGTTAAAGAACCTGAGTGTCATCCTCTACTTTTTACTCTCCTTCACCCCCCACCCCATATCCAATCAGTTGCCATGTTTTGTCAGTTTCTACCTCAACCACATTTCTGGCATCCAATCCCTTTCTCTGCCTCAAGCCTCTCCCCATGATAATCTATAACACAAGTTGATCATATCACTCCATTGCCCCAAAAGATGTAGTAACTCTCTATTACCTCTAGGGTAAAATATAACCTCCTCATTTTGGAATTTATGGCTCCAATCTATGCTTCCAGCCTAATCATACACTTCACAAACAGTGTGGTCCACCCAAATCAGTCTCCTTGCTGTCCCTCATACATAATATGCCCTTCTATCTGTCTTCCTTTTCACAAGCTGCTCCTCCTTCCTCTCTTGAATGCACTCCCTCCCCACCGTGACCTCTTAGAGTACCCAATTTCCTTTTACATGAGATTTTTTCTGATTCTTCTTCCCTCAAATTATCTTTTTTATGTATTTATTTCATTTGTATTCTTTCTGTATACTCACACACACTATCTCCTTCAATAGAATGTTTCTTGAGAATAGGAGTTCTCACATATTCGTATTTGTATTCCCAGTGCCCAGCACAATGTCTGACACATGATAGAGGCTTAATAACTGTTGGTTGTTGTGATTGGCTGAGTCTCTTCCTTATATCTTGTCTTAAAACATTTCTTAACTTGAGAAACTCACCATGTTGTAGATGGAATTTATGCCACAGGCAGAAGGGATGAGCCTTGGAACTTGTAACGCTCCTTCCAGTACTCAAGCTCCATATCTCTATATCTGCCTCAATGGCTTGTGAGTTTCCTCTGCTGGCAGATTCTATGTTACCTTTCTCTTTCAGTACAGCTGCTCCCCTCCCTTTTCCTTCCCCTCTTCTTCCTTTTTTCTTTCCTTTCTTCCCATTCTTGTACCCTGCTCTTCTTCTTCCCTTCCCTTTGTCTTCCTTTCCCCTCTTTGCTTCTCTTCTTTTCTTAACCCAGATCTTAACGCAAATTCAGCACTCTGTCCCTACAATATACCAGGCTTGGGGTCAAAGACACTATGATTTGAATCCTGCCTCATATGCTTACTGTGTGACCTTGGGCAAGTCACCTAACCTTTCTGAGCTTCAGTTTCCTCATTTATAAAATAACAATAATAACTGACACAGAGACTTTTAAAGTTTGCAAAGTCCTTTGCATACAATATATAATAGCATCTATCTCAAAGGATTCTTGTGAGTATCAGTATGTGTATGTGAGTATGTGAGTATCAGTTGGTAGCTGACCAACTGATTCTCCTCCAGTTATAGAAAGTAAGGGCAGTAAGAAGTGATAAACTAATTTTCTTCTTTTTAGGAAGTATGAATATTTTTTCCTTGACCAAAGGTTGATTAGCCACACCCCATGATGGTCTGATATAAGACAGAACTTTCAAGCTCTCCAGCAGGTCCAGGCCCTGTGAGCCAAGGGCCAGAGAAGCTTTGTGTATTGTAATCTTTGCTCCCAAGTACTTAATGCACTTGATTTTAAAATTTAGTTTAATTTTTTCTAGTTAAAAATCTGTTTTCTTTCTCTCTCTAGCTTCTCTCTTTGCATTAGAAAAAAAAGAAAGAAAAAACAAAACAAAACCCATGTTACAAACGTGAAAAGCCAAGTAAAACAAATTTCTGCACTGGCCACGTCCAAAAAAACCATGTCTTATTCTGCACCTTGAGCCTATTGTCTCTCTATCAGGAGATGGATAGGATGCTTTATTATTGGTCCTCTGGAATCATGCAGATTGCTTAATTCTTTTGAAGTTGCTTGTCCTATAAGCACTTTGCAAATCTTAAAACACAACATAAAAGCTATTACTATAATTATCTACAAGGTGTGGAGGGTTCAATCTATAGGTGGAAGGAGTAAGTGCACAATTGAAACTGCAGATTGTTAAATTATCAAAGCCAATATTTTATCAGTTGTTGTCTTACTCTCAAATAATATTGTGTATGTAAGCCTTGTTTTCCCCACAAATCTTAGAATAAAGACTATGTCTAATACATGACTTAATCTCCCATAGGACTGACCACAGTACCAATCTTCTTGCTTTTCTGCCTCCAAGGAGAACTTCTATTCCCTAGGATCTGAAATCACAAGGCCGCATGGACTGTGTGCCTTCTTTAAGAGGATTAGAAATCTGGATTCTTGTCTTCCTAAGTAACTATGGAGGCCTTAAGCAAACACAAAATCTCTCTATTCCTCTTTCACATTTAACACTTCTCAACTTTAACAAACCTAGCTATAAGTGCTCTGAGGTTCTTTGACTGTAAAGAAACAAAACAAAACAAAACAAAAAAACTGCATCCACAACAATAAAACAAATTCACAAAAGAAACTCTTAATCCGACCAGAGACAGGGTTAGACCAAAATATAGGACCTGTGGCTACTAGTGAGAAGGGAGTAGATTGCTTTTCTTCAGGTAAGTAAGTGTGTTTCTAAACATCCTTTTCAGCTGACTCTGCTACAAGCCAGAAATGCTCTGTATTGCTTTTCTGCTATTACTACTAATATATCAGCAGCAGCAGCTTTGCCAGAGTGAAAACCACAGACTCCAGCTCCCTTAAGCAAGGAGAGAAGATTTAAATGATACAGACCAGGCTCTTAGGGAATTACGAGAGGATTTGAAAATCTTTATCTTCAGCTCTTAAGAGCCTATGGAGTAATAGCGTCCAAATAAGGCCCACTTTTCAACCCTTTGAAGGTTGGTCACATAGGGTAATCCTAAGTGATCTTTATGAAACGCCAGTTTAGTGATGGCATCTATATATTCTCCACTCAGCCTGATGCATGTATTTTATGCATTTTTATAAAGGGGTTGGGAATATTGATAAATATTGATGCCTATCTGAAATATCACGTTTCTAAAATTAGAAGAAGACCGTAGAGGCCATCTGGTCCAAGCCTTTTATTTTACAGCTAAAGAAACTGAGACCCAGAGAGATCAAGCAACTTGCCTGAGGTCACACATGTGTTAAGTGGCAAGGCCAGTATTTGAACTCGGATCCTTTGACTTGAAATCCAGTATTCTTTCTATTGTGGTACCCTGCCTCTTTTTTGGTTGCAATCTACTCAAGAGCAGGCCAGTTGAACCTATATAGATGCTGAATGAAGGAGTGTGCCCTTTAGACTGACTGAACTTTTAAGGGAGAATCAATAAAATTAATACCATGTGTAAATAACCTAAGATATCCTAAAAGCAATGGATAACAACATGTTAAAAAAAAATGGGTGTGCTTTTAGTTTTTTGTTGTCTATATGAGACACTGTACAATGGAGAAATAGAGAAAGTAGTCAGAAACCAAGGTAATCTTGATTAAATCAACCAAGTATTTACATAGGAAGCTGATGAATTACATGCAAGTTAATAGGCAACTCTAAAGTACTACAAACTTTAGGGAATAATCAGCTTTGTCTTTTCTTCTCTTCCTTGTATGATACTGACTTGGTGTAAGTTAGAGAATTAATCTTTTTTTTAACTTTTAGGCAATTGGGGTTAAGTGACTTGCCCAGGGTCACACAGCTAGTAAGTATCAAGTGTTTGGTCTGAGGCCGGATTTGAACTCAGGTCCTTCTGACTTCAGGGCCGGTGCTCTATCCACTGCGCCACCTAGCTGCCCCTGAGAATTAATCTTCTAAAGTAAGAAAACATCTTATCATTGTTATGGTCCATTTGGTTGAACAAACTCTGGTTCTGCTGCAACTATATACTAAGTGGTCACCCTTCCCTTCCTTCCTCATAGTACTGGATTTTGGTTCAAATCCTGGTTTTGCTAACTAGTATGTGGGCTTAGGCCAATCCTTTAGCTGCTCTAGGCCTCAGTTTCTTCATTTGTAAAATGAAGAGGTTGGCCTATTTATCCTGAGGGGCTCAAAGACAAAAGAAAGGTCCTGATATACAAATCATTCATAGCAACACGTGTGTGTGTGTGTGTGTGTGTGTGTGTGTGTGTGTGTGTGTGTGTGTATGAGACAGGGAGAGAGAGAGAGAGAGAGAGAGAGAGAGAGAGAGAGAGAGAGAGAGAGAGAGAGAGAGAGAGAGATCTATCTTTCAGGGAGAATGAGAAAAAGAAGTCAATTCTCCTTTCCTGCCATACCACTTTGGACTTCGCTTACTCTCTTCTACGTCTCTGTTTTCTGAGTACTTGTCTTCTCCCCCTTCACCATTTATTTGCTCCTTGAAGTTGTGAGCTCCTGTATGGCAGGGTCTGTCTTTTTTTTTTTTTTATATCTCTCACTTCTCAAGACCTAGCACGGTGACTTTTGTATAGTAAATACTCAATGTTTGGTGAAGGAAAAGAAGAGGGGATGAATGAAAGGAGGAAGAAAAAGAAAGCAGAATCAGAGGGAAGGAGAAAGAATGTGACTAAGGAACTGATTATTACCCTATCTGAAGTCTAAGACCCGGATTTGAATCTTGGCTCTGTACTTGCTGGCTGTACAACTGAGCAAATCCCTGAACCTCTCTGTCTTAAGTTCTGCATCTATAAAATAGGAAGAATAAAAAGTGCCTTACCTATATCATGGGGCTGTTGGGTGGGTGCAATGAGCTAGTCCAATAGGCTAATGATCTTTCTTAAGTGAAGATCTGACCATGTCACTTCCCTACCAGTAAACTCCCTATTGCTTCTAAGATAAAATATGAGCCTCTCTGTTTGGCTTTTAAAGCCCTTAACCACCTGGCTCCAATATATTTTTTACAGTTCCATACATCACTCCTCTTTCCATGCTCTTTTGTCCACTCAAATTGGCCTTTTCTATGTTACTTACACATGGTATGCCATTCTTAATCTCCGTGACTCTACTCTGGCCACACCTGAATTCACTCTCTCCTCATCTCTTTCTCACTGAATCAAACACATCCTTCAAGACTCAACTCCAGCATTACCTCCTACCAAAGCTTTTCCTTTCTTCCTTTCTACCTGCTCCACCTCCCCATCCTGTCATTAATGTCTTTTCTCCTACCTTCCTTGTGTTTATTTTGTACTTATTCTGTTTGTACTTACATAGGTACACACTGTCTCCTCCTGTAGAATGTAATAGGGACCATTTTATTTTTTTTTTGTCTTTGTTTTGTATCTGGTACATAACAAGTGCTTAATAAATACGTATCTACTGATTGATTGGAAGTAAACAACAATAAAGATGTACGCTGCTGGTGGAAAAAGAAAAGAAACGTAACTAATCTTACCAAATTCCATGTCCCTTTTACCCAGTGGGAACAAGAATGACTGTTACAATGCCTAGTGGAGTCAGGTCTCATCTGCCAATCACAATGGCCTCCTGGGCAATGCACCAACCTCTCCTGAGTGCCACCTCCACAGGATTTGGAACACTGGAGAGTACAAAGTAGTACATGGAACAGAATTAGAAGGGAAGTCACCCGGAGAGAATTCTGGGCATGTAGAAATTACATTTTATAATAATTTGTGTGATTCTGTGGGGTTGTACTGCACAGGTTTATATTGCTTTACTTTGGAGAGACCAAATGGGCCAAATGACATGTGCCTGTAATTTCCTAGGGGGTTGTGTCCTTACTGAACCACTCATAGTGATTACTAGCCACTGAGCACCAATGATGAAACTAGAAATCAAGGTGTGGTTGAGAAAATAAGTTTCAAAGGCAAGGGAAGGAAGGGTCTAGGGGAAAGAGAAATAGTCAATAGTACAGGAACAATATGTCCTATTTATGACTACCATAAATAGGAATATTTTCACCTGGAACAAAATAATTGGGGGGGAGACTGTATAGCAGATAGTCTTACATTGGCTACAATTTGTGGGGAGATAGGGTGGTCTGACCCTTGCTCCATGGGAGCTGAGGAGAGGGATATCATGGTGAATCTGTGGGGCACTGTGTGTCTCAGGGGTGGTTTCACCATGTGTTTGTTGGTGTGGGTCAGCAGAGGACAAAGAGGTAAAATATAGATATTATTGTAATCATGTAATAATTATGTTGTAACAATGCCCTCTGAGGGAAAAAGCACAATTCCTTCTGCCAGACATTATTGCCTTGAGACAAAGCATTGCTCACACCATGCTGGTTATAACTGTAATTGGGATAAGAATGCTTGGTTAGAAAGTAAAAAAAAACCAAACAACTGTTTAGCACAAAATATTACTTATTATTTGAGTAAAGCATGAAAAAAGTACAAGTGGCAAGGAGTCAAAATGTAAAATTAATGTGTTTTTCAAAAAGGAAAAGGACCTATACTTGCAAAAATATTTATAGCAGCTTTTTTCTGGGGGTAAAGAATTAGAAATTGAGGGGATGCCCATCAATTGGGGAACGGTTGAGCATGGGTTATGTAATTGATGGAATACTATTATTGTGCTGTAAGAAATGTTGAGCAGGATGCTTTCAGAAAACCTGGAAAGACTTGCATGGGTTGATGCAAAGTGAAATGTACTGGGTACAAAGCAACAGTAATATTGTAAGATGAACAGCTGTGAACGACTTAACTATTCTCAGCAACACAATGATCCATTACAACCCTGAAGGACTTAGGATGAAAAATACCATCTTCCCCAGAGAAAGAAGTGATGGGTTCTGAATACAGATTGAAGCATACTTTTTTTTTGAACTTTATTTTTCTTGAATTTTTTCATCTACATTGACTTTCACAACATGACTACTATGGATATGTTTTGCCTGACCACATATGAACTATATGGAATTGCTTGCCTTCTCAACGAGGTGGGGTGGAGAGGGAGAAAGGAAGAGAATTTAGAACCCAAAAGTTTTAAAAACAAATGAAAATTTGTTTTTACATGCAACTGGGAAAAATTAAATACTAAATAAAAAATAAAGTTAATGCATTTTTGGGGGGGGTGTTAGGCAATGGGGTTAAGTGACTTGCCCAGGGCCACACAGCTACTAAGTGTTATTGTGTGTCTGAGATCGGATTTGAATTCAGGTCCTCCTGAATCCAGGGCTGGTGCTCTATCTACTGTGCCACCTAGCTGCCCCATAAAATTAATGTGTTTTTATTTAGACTAGATCCAACTACCCAACAGAAAGCCAGCAACACAATCTTTATTTCACCTTCTACCAAGATGGGAATTTCTTCTTCCCCTCAGTTCTACATAGGAGGTAGCAGATACCCCACTAGACAGAGTTTCAGTAATAAACTTGTCCACATTACGGGTAATACAGTTGAGAGAGACTCAGGTAGCTCTGATGTATTGTCTCTAAAGCTCATAAAATAAATTCAGAAAACAAGTGGGATTTCTGAAGCACAAAAATTTATGTGAGATTTTTGATCACTTGAACAATCTTATCAGATATTTCATTTCATTTTTATGATGCTGTGAAGGAGGCAAAGAATTTACCAAAAAACAACTACATGTAAAATAGTGAAAATAGACAGTTATCAGCATTATCATCATAGTGTACTTATGCTAGATACTATGTCAACAAGAAAATTATGCTAAACTAATATTTCAGGACTCAAAAAGCTACCATTTTTAAAATCCTGTACCAAACTTTCTCTGGAGATAAGATGGCTGTTTCTTACTCATTTAGCCTATTTTCTACTTGGAAAGACAATCGCCCTTATTATCATTTTCCCCTCTAGTTTGACCAATATGACATAATCATCATAAAGAAAAGGCCAAAAAACCCTCAAAACTCTCTCAGCCAGAAAATATTGATCCCTTCCCCTACTGAGAAATATGATAGCCAAGTGCACCACTCTTTCAGAATATAAAGTTATTTATAAAATATTGGATAGCATGAAGGGGGAAGGGAGAATTAACAGCAAAATCATTTCACAAAACAGAAGAGTGGTGAGAATCTATTGAAAGGTTATCATGAGACCCATAAGACAACGTATGGATAAAGCTGGAAGAACAACCAAAAAAAGCAACAAAAATGAAGTAGCTTTGCCAGTATTTCTACAGTAATCTATTTTCATCATTGACAATAGTTGAATAATCCCTCAGTCTCTGACAGGAGGAAATGGAGAAATGCTTAAGATGATGACATTGAAAAGAGCAGCTGGTCCATATTAAGCACCCATCAAGGAATTCTTGAGGGAGATGATACAACTTTGAAAGCTCTAAAGAATTAGTTTCCAGGATCCCTGAAAGAAGGGGAGTTCCAGAATGGGGGGAAATGATGGATGGATGGCATTATTTCCCTCAAAAGATGATCAAGCGGACTTTAGTAACTGCTGACCAAAATGCCTACTTTCTTATTTCTAGAAAACTTTTCATAAGAACAATTCACACATGTAATGGAATATGCTTGTTGAAAAGATATGAAAGGGATACTTCAGTGCTCACAATCCATTTGCTAGAACAGGTACCATCTTTATATGACTGGCTAAAAAGTATAGACTATGAAATTCTGCTATGTTTATTATTTGCTGATTTTTTTAAAAAGCAGAATAGAGCAAAATGCAGCCTTAACAGCTCTTTTTCATGGCAACTCCTATACAAGCCTTAATGCAGTGAAGTTCCCCTCCCTTATGTAGACATTTAATTGCTGAAAGGGACAGAAATAGAATATTTGTGTAAAAAACACAAGAGAAAAACAACTTGAGAAGAAAGACATGATTCAGAGAGAACTTGAAAGAAAAGCAGTTCTCCTCCCCCAGATGCAAAATACTGAATGACAGCAGAAATGACTGCTGTACATGTTTCCCAGAAGCTAATTTACATATGACTTTCAGAACTGTTTTTAAATGTTAAGTTTATTGCTGGAAACTGAATCAAATAGCTATTTGGGGACAACTGGATGACAGCATATTGACTATTTGTGCCACATTTGACAGAAATATGGATTTGGGGTTACTTAACCTAAGCTAGAGAAGGGTCACTATATATAAGGAAGTCCTTTTTTTCAGGCAGGAGAGACTAAGAAGCCAGAGGATGGAATGTAGAAGCTATTAGATACTACAGACAGAAGTTGGAGAATCAGAAAATAAAGAAGCCACAGGAGAAAAGCTGAGAGAAGGCAATATAAGCTGATGGAGATGAGAAGCTGAATGAAGAAGCAGGGTAAAGACAGCAGCAGAGCCCAAATGAGGAGAGCAGACTAACGACAGGCTGTGCTGCTGATGGGGATAACCGACTTCTGATGATTAGAGCTGATTGGACAATGTAGAATCCAGGTATGCTTAGGAAAAGTCTGCCTTAGTTTCTTGTGCCATCTACAGAGTGAGAATGAGAGAGGGGAAACACCTCATAGGCTAGCTTATATCATCCTTTGATGTCCTCTTTATCTTGAGAGAGGGAAACTCTTCAAAGCCCAAAGAGTATAATTGAGTAGCTTTGTGGTCCCTTGAGTTAAGGGAACTTCCTTTCACACAAAGATTGTAATTCTGCCTCAGCATTCTGCCAAAGGAACAGGCCTGGGAAGGTCTGCAGATCCGCGACTTAAATCTACTGTTTGCTTAAAAAAAAAAGATTAACAGTGCTTCAGCATTTTGAAGGTAGCTGAGAAGCAGCTTTCTGAGGCTCTTTCTGAGGAGAGGAAAGAGATACAAAAGAAGAATGGTTCTTCCAAGTAGGTGATGTGTGCTATTGACCATTCCCTAGATCAAGGACTTCAAATTCTTCAGTTCTAAGTTGTGAGTTTATGGATGACATTGTGATGATTGTTCGATATACCATAATGCTATAGGGCCTCCTCAAAACAGATTAGCTTAGCAATGCATGCAGGAAAAATCAAATGGATGAAGAATACCTATTGTTCAGCTATAAGTAAGCATCTGTATAATGAAATTCCACTTTTTTGAATGGGTTACTCTCCATGTCCACAGTATTCTCCCAACTTATCTCTGCCACTTGGAACTTCTAGGTCCCTTCAAGGCTCAGCTCACGTACCACTTTCTATACAAAGACCCTCCTGACTCTCCTAATTGTTAGCTTTCCCCTAGTTATTGTGTACTTAGTTTGTATCTGGACTGCATTTACTTACCTGTAACCATGTTGTAAACCCACCTCACTCTATCTCCAATAGAATCTATGTTCTTTCAGGACAGAGACTGTCTCACTTTTGCTTTTGGATTCCTAGTACTTAGCTGAATGCCTAGAACATAACTGGTGCTTAATAAATACTTGTTGATTATTTGAGCAGCCAACCATTAGTCCATCAGTATATATTTCTTGAATAGGTTTTGCAAGTGGACAATGAGCTGATCCCAGGAGAGAATGAAGAGAGTAGAATGGATTGCATTCAGAAAATTGGGCAGCCCTTTGAATGATCCCAAGCTGCTCCCTGACACAAAACTCCCATCTTTTTAAACACCAATATTCTTTAAGTAATGCTACATGATTTTATTTTCTAAATTTTTATTGATATCTTCTATTTCTTACATCACCATAGTGCCCATGTGTCTTTCCCCTTCCTAGTAAGCCATCTCATGTGAAAAATAATAATTTTTGGAAAGAAAAAAAAGGGAGCATTACTGATCAATACTTTGAAGAAGTTGGAAAATGTGCAATGTATAACACCTGTGGACCTTCCACCTCCACGAAGGTGCCTTCTCACGTCTCTTCCTTTGAGTCTCATCTGATCTTTATAATATTGTTACTTTTACTTTTGATTTTTTTTGTGTACTATTTCCATTTACATTGCTATAGTTACTGTATGTGTGTATATATACATACATACATACATACATGCACACACTTTTTTGGCTTTGCTTACTTTACCATGTATCAATTCATATAGATCTTTCCATGTGTCTATGTATTCATCATACACATCATTTCCTAGTGCACCCAATAATATTCCATTATATTCATGCAATCACAAATTGTTTAGCTATTCCCCAACTGATAGACATCTATTTTGTTTCCAATTCTTAGCTGTCACAAAAAGCACTACTATAAATGTTTTGGAATATATGGGGACTTTTTTCTTATTAATGACTTTCTTGGGGTATAAACTCAATAATAGAGCTTCTGATTCAAAGAGTATGGACATTTTAGTTATTTTATTTGCATAATTCCAAATTGCTTTTCAAAATGGTTTTTCCATAATCTTCTCAAACTCCACAGGGTTCTATGTCTCATTAAGTGTTGGATCATTTTCCTTCATTTTGCTGTATTTATTTATAGATGCCTGAATTAATTGACTAGATCTGGAGGCCATCTTTCCTGTTGTTACTGTTTTTCCTGTTGATTTATCTGTTTATGTCCAAGGTCTTTGAGTTTTCTTCTTCCTGAATCTTTGGTACTTTTTAGTCTTTTCCCTCCTCATTTCCCTTATCACTCACTTCCTGACTCCCTCCCCTCTGATGGTGATTTCCCTGGGGATTGGATCTCAAAGCATCTTAGCCTCCTGCCACATTGGGTGATTCATGTTTCACAACCCCGGTCTCTGTTTCAAGTGACTTTTGGTAGATGATCAGAGCTGTCCTCAGCTGCTTGCCATCTTCTTTCCCTCAGGCTTGGTGGAGTGCTGCACTGACCCTCACATGCATAGATTCCCATTCTGGTGATCTGTCTCACTGCTTCTGCTCCTCAGTTCTCTGGGTCAGCACCAGCAGTTCAGAATCTGTTTTCCCCAGCATCACCAGTTCAGAGCATTGCTGCACCGGTGTTCCCAGGTTTCAGTCCCTAGTAGGCTTTTAGTTCTGAATGATTATAGCCAAGTTGGCTGTTGAGGCCCAAGCAGACTTCCACAGCCTGGAGCTGAGATTTCCACAGCACTGAAAAGAGGAAGGGGGGAGGGGAGACTTGGATGTGTTGAGACATTGGGTCTGTTAGTGCAGCCTCACCACCAATAGTGTGGGAAGTGAGGGAGGGGTGCTGTATGAGATCAGGGGCAAAGAGTGTCAGTTCCTGTTTTTTTTTTAACTTTTTTTTTTCAAATTTCTGGTTGTCCTCGACCATGGACATGGCAGAATTTGCTTTATCTGTAGTGTATAATTTCTGTTTTGGAAAGGTGTGAGAGGTCATAGGGGTCAGAGAAAATGTATGGTCTCCCACCTTGTTGTTTATGTGACCTGGAAGTGTTAATCTGATTTTGAATCACAGAAAAGAACAATCCAAAGAACAAAAATTTCCGGTGACCCAATGAAATAAGATGTATGATAGATACAAGGAGGCTTAAAAGAAATGGTCTAAAAATATCACCAAGGAAAGTTACGATCAGAAAAGGAGGTGGGCCTATCTTATGGCGAAAATGAGGAATCCCTAATGGATTAATAAGACTGCTAGCAATAGGAATAGCAAAAAGCTATTCTTATTTATACAACACTATTTGTACAGCACCTTAAGAGTTATAACATGTTTTTTATATTTTTTGCACCTCACAATAGTCCTATGAGATAAATACTACAGCCAGTCAGTCAAGGACCGTTTATTAAGTATCTTTTATGAATGAGGCACTGTGCTAAGTGCTGATAATATAAAACACGGTAAAAACACAATCCTTGCTCTCAAGGAGCTCACAATCTAATGGGAGACACAATATGCAAACAACTACATATAAACAAGCTATTTATAAGATAAATTGGAAGTAAGAAACAAAGAGAAGCCACAACCATTAGGGAGGATCAAGAAAGGTTTTTTTGCAAAAGATGGAATTTTAGCTGGGAGTTGAAGGAAGCCAAGAGAGGGAGATGAGAAGGGAGCGAATTCTAGGCATGGGAGATAGATAATGAAAATATCAAGAGATGGAGTGTCAAAGTGTGACAAAGTGTGACAAAGAGCAAGAAGACCATAGGCACTGGATTTCAGAATACTGGGGTGGGGATGTGTTGAGTAAAGTGTAAGAAGACTGGAAAGGGTGGGGGAAGGGTCAGGTTATGAAAGACTTTGAACACCTAGCAGCACATTTTATATTTAATCATGGAGGTGACAGGGAGCCATTTGAGTTCATCTGTGCTTCAGTAGGTAGATCATTTTGACCATAAACATCATTATTGCCCCAAAACACTAAATGACCTAGAAATGTAGGGCATTTAGAACAGATCATCACACCTAGCTACAGCAAACAACAGATCTATCAAGGGTGCTTCTCAAGTAAAGCAAACAAGGACCAAAGTGTGCCTTGATCATTAGTGAAGAGGTTGCAATCATTTTTATAGCACAATGATTCATGATCAACTTAGCCAGAATGAATATCAAAACAAAACATTCAGCACAAATATCATTGTCTTTACGACAACAACATGGATGGGACATGTGATAGGCTCCATGATAGCTTACCACAAGGAGGGGGAAGGAGGAAAGAGTGAAGGCAGAAGATGTTTGGCAGATGAAGTGATTTGGAAGTACCCTGGAATTCTGCTATTGAATAAGAAAATAAATCTGAACCATGGCCATACAACATTCTGGGTTTATTTTGGTTCTTCCTATATGAACTTCCAATGGATACCATGTTCTCCAGTTTTCCTTACTCAGTCTTTCTCTATGGATTGCTCTTTCCTGATTATCTCAGAAGTTAGAAGTCCCCCAATTCTTGTCTCCTCATGGCCACTGGCCTTCAAGTTTCAGATCTTTCCAACAGAAATACGAGTCTTAATTGGTGGTTTCATAAAATCTCACCTCAATCAACTTTATGTAGCCAACCCTTGAATTTGCTTCACATACCATATCACCATCCATCAAAGCACCAGGCCTACACAGTGTAGGTATCTTGCCAACTATCCTGATTCTGCACATATGCCCTTTCCACAATTTCTCCCTTTGTTTCACCTCTTGACCTGGGAACACTAATCAAATCGATATTGTCATTGCTACTGGAAGGGTCATGACATCCTACTGCCCTTTGGTTCCACTCATAATTTCCGTCACTGCCTAGACCAAAACTCCTTGCTCTAGCCACCAGAGTGTCTGCCCTTATTAGAATACAAGCTCCTTAAGAAAAGAGGTTTTTTCATGTTTATATCTGTACCTTGAGCAGTTAGATGGTACAGTTGATAGAGTGCTAGGCCTGAAGTCAGAAAGACTCATCTTCATGTGTTCAAATCCACTTTCAGACACTTACTAGCTGTATGACCCTGGGCAAGTCACTTAACCTTGTTTGCCTCAGTTTCTCATTTGTAAAATGAGCTGGAGGAATGGCAAACTACTTCAGCATCTTTGCCAAGAAAAATCCAAATGGAGTTTTGAAGAGTCAGAAATGACTGAAATGATTGAACATTTGCACCCTAGAGCCTAGCATGGTGCCTAGAACACATTAATAAAACTTTAAGTCCTAATCAAGCACTCAATCTTCTAAACAATAACAAGTACATGATGTGGCATATCCATCCTCATTAGCACTCAGGGAAATTCAGCACCATTTTTACTTTTCCCATAAAAAGGCATGTCATCCTAAAGGAGATAGTGTATTATGACTATTGAAATCAGAGGACTTGAGTTCAACTCCCACCTCTGACACTCAGTGAGAAATTGGGCAAGTCACTTAACATACCTGAGCCTCAGTTTCTACATCTGCAAAATTAGGAAGAGGGCTAGACTAGATGGCCTCTTTTAGCTCTAGATCTATGATCCCAAGCCTGGCTATGTGCCTTCCTTGAATTCGAGGTTCACAAGGACTGTTGAAAGCTACCTGTAACTTCTAAGAGGCTGTGGTCACCTACTGTACCTGGCTCCAGGGCTCTGTCTTCCACTCTAGGCAGGGCTCCATGTTACAAGTGGTGCTCAGCTGGGGCTTATCTTCAAGTAATTGACAATGGAATGGCCTCAGGTTCCTGTAGTCATGGCTATTCACGCATCGAGCCTCCCGGACCTTGATGCCTCCCCCACAATTTCGGGAGCACTGGAAGGGAACAAGAACAAAGAGAAGGAGTGTTGGACAGTCAGGACTCTGCCCACTTGTTTCATGGGCAGTCTCTTCTCAGATGATAATGTGTCCACAAGGCTAATGGGAAGCTCCTTCTTGTGTGTAGTTGAATGACATCATTTAGTCTTAAATAAAATGACTTTTGTACCTCTCAAAGGAACTTGTCCATGAGGCTAATGGGAAGCTCCTCCTTGCGTGTATAGTTAAATGACATTATTTGCCTTTAGGAAGAAAGAGTGATCTAGTCTTAAATAAAATGACTTTTGTACCTCTCAAAGAGCCAAGCAACACTCTTTATCTGCTAATGCAGACAATATGTACGCCCAGAAAATTTGTCAAATTTTGTGCTGTCAGCCCATTGCATAGGGCCAACCATGACACTGAAGGTGAACTTGAAACAAAGCAAATGGAAGTCTCCATAAATTTGAGTCTGGTCTACTTTTGACTTTGTTACAAAATGGCTTTCATTGACTCCCCTGCCCCAATTCTTTTCAGCAGTGGGCATGTGCACATCAGCAGTCACTTCAGGTTCACCTGAGTATTTTGTGACTGAAGTTTAGTTTTACATTTTACTCAGTATTATGGGGTTAACAATTATGAATCATAAAATAATGTTCTTTTTCTTTTCTTCCTCTAGTCTTAAAGTAATTAAAAATAAATTATACTACAGATAATTTTTTGCTTTTTAAAAATATTTTTATTAATTTATTTTTAGTTTTCAATATTCACTTCCATAAGCTTTTGAGTTTTAAATTTTCTTTCCCTCCCTCCCCACCTCCTTCCCCAAGATGGCATGCAATCTGATATAGGCTCTACGTATATTCCTATTAAACATATTTTCACATTAGTCATGTTTAAAGACAATTTAAAAATCTTCATTTTTTTCCCACACTTATTTCATTAAAGTCTAAGCAACCATTTTCAGGAAGCTGGACCACAGCATCTTTACTTTGGTACATGAATACCTGCAATATATCAATCTGCCATTTCCTCTAGGGACAGGGAAACAGATCACTGCCTCATCTTACCTTTAGCCCTGAAGACTTTTTTTTTTTTACTGTCTCCTATATGAATGGGTTTTTCTTTCCATCCTTTTAGCCTTCCCAGGGGCTACTTCTCTACCTAAAAAGACCTCATTCCTGCTCTGTGCCATAAAGAGGCCTGGTGGTATGCTGGTACATGCTATATAAATACTTATTGCTTCCCCTCTCTCTCTCTGTCATCACCATAACACCTCATAATCTTACAGTGGTGAACATGGAAGAGGTCATCTTACCAGTACTGTACCTATTACAATCAAAGGCAGGATTCATCTGATCTTTGACCTCTTCCTAGCTTTAATATTTAAAAGACCTATGACCACCTTCCGCTAAACACCTACACTCGTGGGTCCAGGGCTACTCACACCCGGAAGGTAATACAGCACGGGACAGGGCAAATTGCCTTTGCCCTAGAATCAAAACTTGGTAGTTTTTTGCTAATGCTGGTTTTACTAATTCTCTAGTGTGAAATTCATAGAACTTTAGAGCCCAGGGCACTTTAGAAGTGATTTGGTACAATATCCTCACCTTATAGATAAAAAAAAATTTGAGAGTTCAGATATTGCCTAAGGACATAAAGCTAGTGGGTACCAGAACCAGGACTCAAATCCTGTTCTTAAAACTGTAAGTTCAGTGTTCCTTCTATTCTATCCTGTTTCTCCTGGGCTTTGAACGTTGTGCACCTGCTTTCCTAGACCTAAGGTACCTGTTACTTCCACCTGTTTAAACAACCCTGCTTGAATTTGACCTCTTGTCTACCTAGCCAGAGGTGGGGAACCTGTGTCCTCAAGGCCATATGTGGCCCTCTAGGTCCTCAACTGCAGCTCTTTGACTGAATCCAAACTTTATTGAACAAATCCCCTTCATAAAAGGATTTGTTGTGAAACTTGGACTCAGTCAAAAGGCTGCACCCAAGGACCTAGAAGGCCACATGTAGGTTTGAGACCATGGGTTCCCTACCCCTGATAGTCCTTCAGTATCTGCCAGATACCTCTCGGTGGCAGAGCATCTCTCTTTCAGTTCCCCAAAGTCTTCAGTCATCCAATGGCAACTCAAATAACATCCCTCATACACTGAACAGTAGCTGCTAATTCACATCCTTTGTGCCTTCTGTCAGTGATAATTGGGTCACTGCACTTTTTAATTAAGGAAGATGTACTCTTACCAAGGCCATGCCCCTGGCTGCTACCATATTAGTACTATTATCATTTTGGTTTTGTGCTCTTCTTTCTAAAAAGATTAAAATGCCTAGGAAAAGATGTGTTGTGGGAGATATCTATGGCTCCTGGGGTACTGTCAGGGAGACAGAACTGTGGCTCTGTCCTTTCACCAAAGGATTTCTTTTTCCTTTGGTCATTGAATAGGTTCAGTGGAAAGGAAGTTGGATCTGGAGTCAGAAAACTAGGTTTGAATTCCAGCTATATCACATATTACCCAGGTGACCTTGGGCTTGTCCCTTAAGCTCTGTAAAATGGGGAAGACTAGGTTGGACCAGATGATCTCTAAAGTTTCTCCTAGCTCTAAATCTAGGGTCCTAAGAGGTGCTACTGAAATATTTCACTTCCTCTCTCTTTCTCTCTCTGAGGTCCTGGAGAAATATTCCAGAAATATTCTAGCTTTCAAGTTTTAGTGTATAACTGAGAAAGACAGGGAAAAAGTTGACAGGCGACAGGAGGATGGTTCTCACCTCCTGTAAATAAAGTGTGTTTATTTTTTCATGGAGAAAAAAAGGAAAGAACAATCAGCCCTGGCTCAATAGCTGAAAAGCACATGGTAAAATTTCCATTTCCCTGCAGTGCAATGAGCACATCTAGGAAAAAAAAAAAACAATTGCCAATTTAAAATTAACATGAGAACAAACGAGGAAACGTAGTAATGACTTCCACACAAAGAAGTCATTTGTCTCCCACAGACTTCAGGAAATATGACAATGCAAAAAAAAAGTGAAAACTCTTCTTAATAAAAATTTGCATGACATTTATAGACTAAGGGGTCTTCTAGCTCTTTCCACTTGTTGCCACAGTCTCTTCTTAAATTTAATTTTAAAATTAGTATTTTTTTCTGAAAGAGTATATTAATTACAAAGAGAAATGAAACTTATCAATATACTTAATACAATAATTGACTAAGATGCTCTCTGGCTATCTTACTCTATTACATTCTCAAAAGCTCCAAGATTGGGTCAGTGAGAGGGAAGTGATGACATATTAAATCACTCCACTCCTAACACCGTTTTGCCTTTGTGTGCCGAATGCCAATTGCCTAAGTTCATCTCCACAGTGCCTGAATAAGTGTCTTTGGTTTTTTTTAAACTACGTGTTTCCTAATGAAAGAGGACATGGATCACACAGAGGGCAGGGACTGGACTAATGAAAATGGTTGACGATGTAACCATTGCTACTGACCAGGCCCAATAATTTTCCAGCTACTGCAGTGCAGTTACTCAATTGATACAATTTTCAAACCAAATCAAGTTAGAATGACCAACGCCACTGGCTGGCTGGAGCCAGTGCTGAGACTGAAATGAAATCACAGCTCTCTCTCTCTTCCTGGTGTTTTTATGATCCATGAAATCATTTCAATGTGGGTAGCTCTAAACCCTGGTTTTGCATACCCTAGCATTTTCTGATTTCAAGATGCTCTCTTAGGGTAAAAAAAATGCCTAAGACATTAAATCTACCCCAATAGGAAGAAAAGATGCTTAGCTTATCACTATGTTCCTGCCTCATTCTCACACAGAAACACTGGTCTTAAAGACTTTAAAAGGTCACATAACTAAGAGAAGTTAAAGGAGGGCAGTGGGGCAGCATAAAAATCGTTCCAAACAACTGACTGTCTATCATCATTTCAGATCTAAAATCAGTAAGATTTTCAAGGATAAGGTCATAGTGGTCATTACTCTCCACAGACTTAGATTCTATTATTTAATCACCTTCCCCCCTCTTTCCTTCTCCATTCTAAATGACCTGAATCTATTAATTATATCTTTTGGAAACGTTCCACTGATAAAATGTTCTGGTGTTGAGGAAAAGTTTCAGAGTAGTTTCTTCTTGAGGTAGTGGTAGGGAGTTAATAATACGTACTGAGTAGGAGAACAGAACTAGGAGAACAATTTATATAATGAAAACAACATTATAGAGAAAAACAACTTTGAAAGACTTTAGAACTCTGATTAATATAATGATAGCCATGGATTTAGCAGGCTGGAGATGAATCATGCCACCCATCTCCTGCTAGAAAGGTGATGGACTTAAATCCAGGAAAAGACATATTTCTTTTTTATTGTGAGGGTGTGTGTGTGTGTGTGTGTGTGTGTGAGAGAGAGAGAGAGAGAGAGAGAGAGAGAGAGAGAGAGAGACAGACAGACAGACAGACAGACAGAAAAAAGACAGAGACAGAGAGACAGAGACATAGAGACAAAGACAGAGAGACAGAGAGAGAGGGCTTGTTCATGGTCCACGAGGGAAAAGAGTGAAGCAGCTGGGGAGAGAGGCATTTCCTTATTTGGCTCATCTTTTCCAATTTCTCACAACTCCCCACCATTTCTGCCACTGGGAATAATTTATGAGAAAATGACTATGAAACAAACTATGAAAACTGAGCACAAGCGAACAGAGTTTAGTTAGTGCCCCAAAGACATCTCAGTAAAGTAGATACCAAAACAGTTGGTCAGGTGGGGCCTACCCAAGCTAGGGCTGAGGTTTGACATTTTTCTTCTTTCTAGCCAGGGGCAGCTTTCCTATGTACAAACCTGGGTCATAGCCAAAGACCAAACTAGGAAGAACAGAAGAACAGGGAAAGTGTTAAGCTCAAAGAACAAACAAAGGAGCTGCTGTAGTAGCTGGGATAAACATGAATGTTACTTGTTTCCCATGGAAGGAGGGTGAAGAGGAACGAGGAAGGGTAAGTAGATACTCAGAGGATCCTTTTAAGCAA